CCCCAAAACCCCAAAACCCCAAAACCCCATCAATCTAGATTCTGTCATATGTTGATAGTCTTGGAATAATATACCGTTTCATCAGGAAATCTATTAAAGTAATATCTTAAACTCAGATGGAATCCAAAGCTCAATTAGTCCTCGGAATTCTAAGAGAAACTTCCACTGCTTGGGAAAGAAGAGTACCATTTACTCCTGAGGCTATTTAAGATCTTATTAGTAAATTTGGCATCAAAGTGCTTATTCAGCCATCAACTAACAGATGCTTTTCTGATTCCTAATACATCTAAGCTGGAGCTGAGGTTAGTGATGATCTAACTCAAGCTCATGTGATTGCTGGTATCAAACCAGCTAAATTGGATAGTCTACTTGCTAACAAAGTTTACATGATGTATACAAGAGTCCACACAGGAGCACCAGGCATTGTTCCTTATCTCAAAAAGCTACTTGAGCAGAAGGTCACCCTAGTAGACTACGAGAAAATAAGAAATGAAAAAGATGAGATACTTGTGGGGTCAAGCAAACTTGCTGGAACTGTGGGAATGTTCAACATTTTCAGATAAGTCGGAGAATATCTACTTTTGAGAAAGAACCTTAACACCCCTTTCTTATTCACTGGGGGAAGTGCTTACATGCATAGAGACAAGGCAAGCTGTGAATAAGCACTCAGAAACATTTCAAAAGTTATTCAAGATTAGGGTGGATTGCCCAAAGAAATATCTCCATTTGTCATTGGAATCGTAGGCAGTGGAATTGTGACGTAAGGAGCTCTAGAGCTAATCTAGAATAATTTACCTACTGAAAGAATTGATGCTAATGATTTAAAGAATCTTTTGGAGAATCCTCCTGCTGATCATCAATAAAAGATTTATTTTACCACTATTAGAAGAGAGCACTATCTAAGGGATGAGGGAACAGATGGAAACACTTAGTTTAACTACTAACTTCTAGAATCAAATCCAGAGAAATTCCATTCAGTTATAGACACGTAAATCTTGCCTTACTTATCAGTTCTTGTAAACTGTGCTAATTGGAAAAGAGGTACTCAAATGCTAATTACTAATGATTAAATTAAGCAAGCCTGTGGTTCAGAGAATCAAAAGCTCATTGCAATCAGCGATGTAGCTGCTCTTATTAATGGTCCCATCGAATTTTTCAAAGAAGAATGCTTGATAGAGAGACCATATTTCTTATATGATACCTAAAATCATAAAAGATACGAAAGCTATGATGAACTTAAGCATGCTGGATAGAATACTTCAAATAATATCCTTGTGTATTAGGGAGTTGAGCAATTGCCAGCTGAGCTGAGTTTAGATGCTTCTAAGATGTTCTCAGACAGGCTTCAGGATTATGTCCATCAAATATTGCAAATCGCTGAGCTTGCTTAGAACGACAAGGATACTTTTGACATCGAATTTGAAAAGTTACCCTTGGAAATCCAAAAATCAATTGCATCTACTCCTAGCGGAAAAACTGGGAAGTAGTATGACTATCTCAATAATTTATTATGACTTAATTTCGATTAATAAAGCTAATTTATTTAATATTTTTTGGTTAAGTTTTAAACTTTTAAATTATGGAAGACGTAGCAATGAGGGACACCTCTTCAAAGCCAGCTCAACACATTGAGAAGGATCTTTACATGAGAATGAAGGAACTCGAAAGTGAATTGGAAATCTTGTCTATTTAAGAAGAGTATCTAAAGGATGAACAGAGACATCTTAAGAGTGAATATGTTAGATCCAAAGAGGAAATCAAGAGAATCTAGTCAGTTTACTTGGGAACTGGAAATTTCATTGAGATGATTGATGAATCATATGGTATCGTTGGAAGTACCAGTGGATCTCAATACTATGTCAGAGTTTTGAGTACTCTAAACAGAGAGGAGTTAAAGCCCAATGCTAGAGTTGCTCTTCACAGATCATCTCACTCAGTTGTTGATATTTTGCCTCCTGATACAGATGCCGCAGTTCAAATGATGAAGATGACTGAAAAGCCAGATGTCAGCTATAATGATGTTGGAGGTCTTGATATTCAAAAGCAAGAAATCCGTGAAGCTATTGAGCTACCTTTGATTCATCCAGAACTTTACTCTTAAATTGGTATTGACCCTCCAAGAGGAGTCTTACTTTATGGACCCCCAGGTACTGGTAAAACTATGCTTGCTAAAGCTGTAGCTAATTAAACTAATGCAGCATTTATCAGAATGGTAGGATCTGAATTCGTTCAAAAATATCTTGGAGAGGGTCCAAGAATGGTCAGAGATGTCTTTAGACTTGCTAGGGAAAACGCTCCATCTATTGTATTCATCGATGAAATTGATTCTATTGCAACTAAGAGATTTGATGCTAACACAGGTGCAGATAGAGAAGTTCAAAGAATCCTGATCGAACTTTTGAATCAGATGGATGGTTTTGATCAAACTGTAAATGTTAAGGTCATTATGGCAACCAACAGAGCTGATACTCTTGATCCAGCTCTCTTGAGACCAGGTAGACTTGATAGAAAAATTGAATTCCCACTCCCAGATAGAAGATAAAAGAGACTCGTTTTCCAAACTTTAACTAGTAAAATGAACTTAAGCGAGGAAGTTGATTTGGAAGACTTTGTTCAAAGACCTGAGAAAATCAGCGCCGCTGATATTCAAAGTATCTGCTAAGAAGCAGGTATGCAAGCAGTCAGAAAGAATAGATATGTAATTTTACCCAAAGATTTCGAGAAGGGATATAAAAAAGTAGTCAAGAAGAGAGATACTGAGTTCGACTTCTATAAGTGATAAATATATTAATCAATTGTTTATAATTATCTATTTTACTTAAGCAGTCTTGCAGGGGTTTTGGGGTAAAATTACATATCT